TAGTTCACAGCTCATGGGTGGGGGTGCACTTTGAAAGCCTTTTCTCCTTGGGTGCTAACAGGGGCCATATTTTGCAATATAAGCACTTAATTTCTAATAGGATGTCCTAAACACGAGATTGCAAAAAGTATTGGGACGCCTGCCTTTTCTTAATCAAACATGCAGCAGTTGCTGCGGTACAGAACCCATGTGTGACTCTACATGCGCCCGGGGGTTTTTGTTATTTTTTGTTTGTCCTGTCTTTTTTGTCTATTCATGTTTTTCAGTTGTTGTATTCATGCCTGTTGTTACTTGGAATTCACGTTGCTGGTAGTTTTAACCAATATTAACTAATAAAATATAACTTTTTTTAGTACATTTTGAGCTTAGTACTGTTTTTGTGGCATTCCAACCCATTAAATATTTGTCACCAATGATCTATGAACATTGCAAGGATTTATCAAACATTTTTTGCAGATTCCTACCTTTTGTTATTCTGAAGAAGTAGATGTTTGTTTGTCTGTGTCTGGGGAGGGGCAGTGACGTCACCACATACCGGACCGACATTACGGCGAGTACTGACAGAGTGGGATCACACTCTTGAGAGGCTGAGCATCACCGCAGCTCGCGGTTTCATTTCTATATGCGTGTTGTTTATTAATACAATGTGAGTGCATAATGGGAGCACATTAAACAGTGTTTGGTATACCTTGGATAAGGCACCATATCTTTTTATCTTCTTTTTTCTATGGGTCATAAGAGGAGATATTGAGCATTGAAGTGAGAGAGGCTCTAGGAGGGAGAAAACCTCATATCTACATAGACTCAGAAGATAGTCCATAGGTTCCCATCTACATCAATATAAGCAACTTGAAAAGGAGAGTATATCACCAATATCTTCTTCCTGCTGAATCCTAAAAACTTTTTTGCACATTTTTCTTTTTTTGCACATTTTTGCTGCTGAACTTTCTGAATTGATATATTTTTTAATTATCTTTATTATTTTTATTCATTTATATCTCACTAATATATATACAATTTATTGTTTGCTTTGTATCATTGGCACATTGGATTATATGAATGTTCACAATTTTTTTCATTATTTTTAATTATTTATATTTAGTATATTTTTACACTGGCACAGTGAATTTTATTAATTTATTTTCAATGAAATAATCACATTTTACAAATATCATAATTGGATTTAATTACATATTATTTTATTTTCATTTTTAAGCTTTATTAAGCACTAGGATAATATAATAAGATTAATTTAGGTAATCCAGGTAAACAGCTGATAAGATGATAGCATCACAGCATATATGAATTAATGGTATCGCTATGGTATCATATAATATATAGCATTGGCAAGGTAATATTAGAGTGCGGATAATTATTTATTGATTTTATAGAATTCACATCTTATGAGAGTGAGAAAAATTCCAGCGATCTAATATATAGATTTCTAACTCCAGTGGCTCACAAGTTCATCCTAACAATATTTGTCTGTGTCCATGTTCGGAGTGAATCTGTATGGGAGTGACTGATTAATTATCAATCAGCTGCTGCACCTGCAAGGCTCTAATGAGGAAAATTGCAGGGTCTGTGTACCTGTAGACGTGTGTTCCCATAGGGAGTATTTTACCAAAAAAAGGCATTTTTGTTGCAGGGGATGACAAAAATCTGACCTGTATCTTAGTGCAGACTTTGGGAAAAATCAGTGAGCCAATCACACAAGCAGGAAATGACATTTTCAGGGGGCGTTCTTTACACACTCTATGTACAGAACACCTCCAGGTAGCCATATTGGCCAAAGCATTGGCCAATGATAGAGCGCAGTGCATTGTAGGGTGCTAACAGCCTGAAAAACGCCCTTACAGTTCATGTGTTAGCCAAACACACTGATGGCCGATGTTCGAGTTGAACTTACGTTTGACTCGACATCAAGCCCAACACTAACATGCTGTACAGACATTTTGGATACATCCATGTGACTGAGAACCTAAAATCACAATCAAAAACATAGAACTTTAAAGAAACCAAAAATTCTAAGATATATTATTTGTATACAAATGAACAAACACAAGACAGTACTTTAAAAATATAAATTTTTTTAGAAACTAATATGATCATATTTTACAATATTGTGTGACATTAAAGTTCTCAGTTCAAAAAAATGTAAAGAACGCAGGTAGTGTGCGACAAGGGTGTTACGTCTGTGCCACTTTACGCAAGTATTGGCGCATAGCTGAACACAGCTGCCTTCACCCTGTAATGTACATGGGTGGTTGTATGCAGCACCAGGGGCTCCCGGGCCCTAAAATACACCCAATTGTTTATGCTGCATGGGTGAATGTGTCCATGTGCATGATCACTTATACTATATACACACACATGTATTCCAGCTTAAAACACTCCAAATGTCTTCAAATCAGCTGATAGGCTTCTATACTGTAGCATATCTACTTAAAGCAGTTCTTCACTCTGCACAAAAAAAAAGTTAATCAAAATTGAAGTGTCACTAAACCCACAGCATAAAACACTATCAGTAAATGCTGTATTACATGCTGTTCAAACCCCCTCAGTCACCATGGGATACACTTTCTGTATTCTGCAAAAAAAAAACTGGTTGATCCTGATGCTCTTTATCTCCACCTTCTGGTCATGTCCCCAATTCAGCTAGGGATTTTGCAGCTCTAGTGGCAACTCTGCACATGCTCAATTAAAAATAAATAGTGTAGTGCTAATAATACTAACAATTACGTGTTACAATGCACAAACTCTATATACATCCCCTACATATATATAACCAAGGTGATAAATCAATACATAAATAATAAAATAGTTGTGTCATACGTGAATTCCCTCACGGGGAATATTTAGTGAAAAAAGTGACAAACACACTCCTATTTGCACATTGTGAAACAATATGTATACTGGTGCACAAAATTAGTGAACAAATAATTCAAAAAGTCCAAAATGATATAATAATAGTAATACGATAATTTGTTATGATCCTCACACTTCACTCTTCATGCAAGAATATATAATGTGCCTTGCATGAAGAGTGAAGTGTGAGGATCACCACTACTACTATTATTATATCATTTTGAATTATTTGTTCACCAATTTTGTACACCAGTATACATATTGTTTCACAATGTGCAAATAGGAGTGTGTTTGTCACTTTTTTCACTAAATATTCCCCGTGAGGGAATTCACGTATGACACAACTATTTTATTATTTATGTATTGATTTATCACCTTGGTTATATATATGCAGGGGATGTATATAGAGTTTGTGCATTGTAACACGTAATTGTTAGTATTATTAGCGCTACACTATTTATTTTTAATTGATCATTCACTTACTTGGGTATAAGTTTGGTGTTGGCAGCTTTTGAAGGATAGGATTCCATTTAAGCGCAGGAGGTTGTTTTTGGAATTTTCTGCATATGCTCAGTTTTCAGTGAGTTTCTATGCTGAGCATTTCCTTCCTATTATATCTGAGCAGCCCATGTGACTATAGAGTAACACATGTGGATGTATACACAGTGGTAAATGACAGCTCACTCCTCCCTCCTCCTCCATGCTCACTAACCAGCTAAACACAATGGGGCGGGGCTATCACATCTTGATTGATGGAGAAATCACCTCTGTTATTCTAAGACGCAGGCCGGAGGGGTGTGACACAGCCTGTGACAGGCAGAAATCTACCCACACCATGTTATTTCCACTAAATAATAAATGTTTGATTTCAAATATATATTTATATGATGATTTAAAACAGTTTATTGATATTATTTATTTATATTTGCTCAGTATTTTTATTTTGAATATGTGACCAGCAGAGGACTAGAATCACCTTCTGCGTATGTTTCCCTGCAGATAGGCTGGGAAGGATCTGGGTCATGTGACAGCTGTATATTGATTAGGAAAAAGGTACTTCGATTTTTTTTTTGTTATTAAAATAGTTACAGTATCATCATCCACATACAGAAATAGAGGGGATAATGTAAATTAAACAGTCTGTGTTTAGTATCACTTTACAAGTCAGTAGCTACAAATCCTGTAGCTGCTGACTTTTAATAAAAGGACACCCAGTCCTAATTGTGGGCAGCCGGCTATGCTGCCTGCGGCTTCACATCCGGCTGTCCACTGCGTATGCGAAAGCCGCGTTGCGCTTTGCGAATTGCTCCACAGTCTTCTGGGACTTGTGACATGAAGACTTTGGGGGGGGGGGGGGGGGGGGGGGCGGGGGGAGAGAGAGCTTCTGTTTGGATCGCCTAGGTGATGATATTGCACAGAGCAACCGCAAATTTCCTCTTATGGGGTCCCCCACCAGCACTCCTCTCCGACAAGTTTCCCCACAGGACGTCACTTCCTATGGGGGCACTCGTGTGAGCTCACTCCTGAACCCCCGCTGCCTGTGTCTATAGACACAGACAGTGGGGCTCAGCTCTTCCCCCTTGGAACCACCAAGCCTTTCCCCAACAGACAGATAGGGGGCAGTAAGAGACTCTTGTGTGTTAATATACATCTGAATTATTTGTACCTTTTAAGTACTGTATATAATTTTTGGATCTACACTATATATAATTAAAAATACATATATCAATGGCTACAGGAACAGAGTCAGGAGTAATGGCCGAGATATGTCATTGAGGGTCTGACTCAGCCCACTAAGTTCCCTCCTTAAATAAAATATCACTTTTGTGAACTGAATCTTTAAAATAAATGTCATGTAAAAGAGAACCTCCCATTGATATCCATAATATTTTTTTTCAGAAAAACCGCTGATGTCACTGGGGGGGGGTCCACAGTTAAATGGTACTAGTAATAATAAATTACCAAGCATACAGACTACACTGAAGTGGTATTTCCTGCAGGGGACGTTGCCTAGTACAGTACATGGTAGGCACTAAAAAAATATAGTGTACAAGTAGGTTAAGGCTTCTACATTCAGAGTTTTGATTTTTATTTGTTATTCCTGGAATTCTGCTTTTGATCCCAAAGCGGCCTTATTTTCTGCTAGGAAGGGTCCCCATAAATTTGCAGATAATTGACAGCATGACTTCATCCGCTCCAGCGCCAATGGAGAGTAGACGGGAATCTCTGCAAAAAGGAAGGATGAGATTCAGCAATGAAGACATGGGGTTGTTGGAATATTATAACTCTGGACAAAAATGAAAAGTGCGGTCAGAGAAGACAGTTTCAGGATTATCTATACACAATAGTAAGCTCATAAATTAAAGGAAAACTATAAGGTCCATTTACATTTCCACTCTCCATTGTGGTATTGAATGTATCATGTGTTACCATTCATTTTGAATTGCACCCAACACACTAAGACAACACACCTGCTTTGTAGTATGCACAGTAATGAAGGTCAATAGAGGAAAGGGTCATGTGTAATTTTAAGCAGGTTAGGATGCAGAGAAATCCAAATCAAACCAATATTTGGTGTGACCTCCCCTTTGCCTTTAAAACAGCATCAATTCTTCTAGGTAGACTTGTAGTTTTTGAAGGAACTCGGCAGGTAGGTTGTTCAAACATCTGGAGAACTAAGCAAAGATGTTATGTGGATGTCTCAGGTCCTTCAGTCTCTTCATGTAATCCAAGACAGACTCCATGATGTTAAGATCAGGGCTCTGTGGGGGCCAAACCATCACTTCCAAGACTCCTTGTTCTTCTTTACACTGAAGACACTAGTTCCTAATTAACTTAATGGCTGCATGTTTGGGGTCGTTGTCCTGCTGCATAATACATTTGGGGCTAATCACACGCCTCCCTGATGGTATGGATGGATAAGCTCAGCATTTAAAACACCATTAATCCTGACCAAATCTCCAACTTCATTTGCAGACATGCAACCTCAAACTTGCAAATAACCTCCACTATGCTTCACTGTTACCTGCAGACACTCATTATTGTTGTCATTATGTGACGAACTCATGCAGGCTCCACCTCCGCAACATCTCCAAAATACGTTCGTTCCTAACCCCAGACACTACTAAACAACTCATTCACTCCCTTATTATCTCACGTCTGGACTACTGCAACTCCCTTCTCACCAGCCTACCTCATCACAGACTATCCCCGCTTCAGTCTATCCTGAACTCAGTGGCCAGACTCATCCACCTTACCAACCGCTCCTCTTCTGCCACCCCCCTCTGTCATTCCCTCCACTGGCTCCCGATTGCCCAACGCATTAAATTCAAACTACTAACACTGACATACAAAGTGTCAGGGATCCCCGCGGCGCTGGTCCCGGCGCAGGCGCAGTGCTCCGCTCTCGGCAGGGACGCGGGCATCAGTTCCTGGCCGACCGCGGCATTCGGCATTCGGGCTTGCGCATGCGCAGTAGGAACCGCGGTCGCGCGCGCCGGGCACCAATGACAGCGCAGGGCGCGATATTTAAACGGCCCTGAGCTGTCATTCAGTGCCTTCTGGTCTCTTCTGCATACCTGTACCTGTGATCCTGTTTCCTGTAAGTTGCTGACCCGGATTGGACCTGACCCTTGCTGCATTCTCCTACCCTGACCCCTGGCTTGCCTGACCTCTCTCCTGGATGCCCCTTACTAGATCTGACCTCCTGTTGCTGACCTGGCGTGTGACCCGACTATTCTCTGCCCGCTGCTTTGTACCGCACCGTCCCCACTGTTACCGACCCGGCTTGTCTGACCTTGCACCTGCTCATCCATCCATCCATCCCACCGGGGTCTTCCGACCTCCTCACATCAGGCTCTTCCCCGTGGGAGCCCCTGGCGAATACCCCTCCCACTGACAGGCGTACTCAGGGGCCACGACCTGGTCTCAGGGTACTCCAAGTCCATCCCCACCATCAGGGGCTCTGGTGAACAAGTACTCTGGGGCTTAGACTCCGTGCCCTGGGTGCGACTAATCAGTGGAGTGCTAGTGGTACCGTCAGGCGGTCCCTTACAGTACCAGAAGGCCATGACTGAGCCTGGAGGAGGGTCCGCCCCGCTGGAAGAGATTTGCAGGCACCTGTCGGCCCTGACACAGGGTGTAGCGGCCCTGCAGGACAGGTACATGCATCTGGAAAACCGCTTCCAGACCCTTCCGGTATCTGATCCTACCCCACAGGCATCTGACTCTGCGCCTCCAGCTGGAGAGGCTGCTGAGCCGGCCACGGGGGTGTCTGCTTCACCTACTATGGCAGAACCCCGAGTACCCTTGCCGGAGCATTTTCGCGGAGACCGCACTCGCTTCCGGTCTTTTCGTGATTCATGCCTCCTATTTTTTGAGTTACAACCCCGCACCTTCGTGACTGAATCGGTTAAGGTGGGATTTATCATCTCCCTATTGCAGGACGAACCCCAGGACTGGGCCCATCGGTTAAGGGAAAACCGTGACCCTCACCTAGGGATGGTAAATGACTTTTTTGGGGCAATGGCCACCTTGTACGATGACCCACAGCGGGCAGCCTCCGCCGAAGCGACGCTATACACGCTTAGACAGGGCCGCAGGGCGGCGGAGGAGTATGCCTCAGAATTTAGACGTTGGATGGGGGACACACGCTGGAACGAGGTCGCTCTGCGACACCAGTTCCGTATGGGTCTTTCGGAATCTCTGAAAGACAAGCTGGCCCGAGTAGGGGTACCCGAGTCCTTAGAAGACCTTATTACGCTGACAATTCTAATCGACCGGAGACTGCGGGAACGCAGATGTGAGAGGTCCGGTCAGGGTCGCGGAAATGCATGGGCTCCGGTCCAAGGGCCCGATCCACTAGCCAGACGGAATACTCAGAGCCCACCGTCCGGAGACACTCAGGAACCAATGCAGCTGGGTCTGGCTCGGCCTAAATTATCACCCGAGGAACACCAGCGGAGAAGATCCCTGAACCTCTGCCTTTACTGTGGGGAAGCCGGTCATATGGTGCGATCCTGCCCTCTGAAAATGAGTAAGTCAACCTCCTTTTCTTCCCTTTCTATTGGCAATATCAGTCCCTCCCAGTACTTGGTTGTCCCCCTCTCCTTTCAGCTCCCAGAAAGGATTGTGGAGGTGACAGCCATAGTCGACTCGGGGGCGTGCAGTTGTTTTTTCTGGATTTAGACTTCGCCCACCGGCAGGGGGATTCCCCTTCAGCCCAGAAAGAGGGGTTTTAACATATTTTTGGCAGATGGCTCCCAGATTAAATCTGGAATGGTTAATCAGGAGACCCCCCTTATCGCCACCACAAATTGCCAATCAGCACCAGGAGTTCCTCCGCCTAGATGCCATTGCGTCACCCCTTTTCCCAGTCATTCTGGGGCTCCCTTGGTTGCGGGCTCATAACCCCCAGATTGACTGGGAAACTGGCTCTATACAGTTCCCTTCTCCATACTGTCAGGGACACTGTCGCACATCGGGCCCAGCAACCCCCCAGGTCCTGCTATGCTCTGAAGGGGACTCAGACCTTAAACAGGTTATTCCCGCAGTATATCATGATTTCTTGGACGTTTTCAGTAAGCGAGGGGCAGAGACCCTGCCCCCCCACCGCCCCTATGACTGTCCCATCGACCTGTTGCCTGGGGCCGAGATTCCTTTTGGGCGGATTTTCCCCCTATCTGAACGTGAATTGGGGACCCTGAAGGAATATATTGAGGATAGTCTCCAAAAGGGATTCATCCGCCCCTCCACGTCACCAGCAGGGGCGGGAATCTTCTTTGTGGAGAAAAAAGACAAATCACTAAGACCCTGCATCGATTATCGTGAGTTAAACAAAGTCACGATTAAAAATCGTTACCCTTTGCCCCTGGTTCCAGAGCTATTTCAGAGCCTGAAGTCTGCGGCCATATTTACTAAATTGGATCTGAGGGGGGCCTATAACCTGGTCCGCATAAGAGAGGGGGACGAGTGGAAGACGGCATTCCGTACCCAGTTTTGGGCACTTTGAATACCTGGTCATGCCATTTGGGCTGTGCAATGCCCCAGCCACATTTCAGCATTTCGTGAACGATGTGTTCAGGGATTACCTCGACATTTTTGTAATCGTATACCTAGATGACATACTGATCTTTTCACCCTCATTGAAGGATCATAGGATACACGTGGCAAAAGTATTAAGGAGGTTGCGCCAGCATGGGTTGTATGCCAAGGCTGACAAGTGCAGCTTTGAGCAGTCTAGCATCACGTTTTTGGGTCTGATTATCTCCACCACGGGGGTCGCGATGGACCCTCAGAAGGTCTCTGCAATTTTGGATTGGCCTGCGCCCACGGATAAAAAGGGCGTCCAGCGTTTTGTTGGGTTCGCAAATTTCTATCGGAAATTCATTAGGAACTTCTCGGGTCTGGTCTCCCCCCTAACTCAGTTAACCAAGCTTGGAACCCGTTTCCAATGGACGCCGGAGGCCCAGGGAGCTTTTGAAGCCCTGAAGAAGCTGTTTACTACGGCACCCATTCTGGGCCATCCAGATGCTTCCCTGCCATACATCTTGGAAGTAGATGCGTCCGAGAACGCAGTGGGCTCCATCCTGTCCCAGCGGAGAGGCCCCAAAGAACTTCTACATCCCGTAGCGTTCTTTTCCAGGAAGCTTACTCCAGCCGAGAAGAATTATGATATTGACGATCGTGAATTGTTGGCCATCAAGACGGCACTAGAAGAATGGAGGTACTTGCTGGAAGGTGCCACACACCCTATTTTGATCTTCACCGACCATAAGAACCTCGAGTATCTGAGAACTGCCAAGCGGTTACGCCCACGCCAGGCAAGATGGGCACTGTTTTTTCTCCAGGTTCACATTTCATATTACCTACAGACCGGGGTCCAAGAACACGAAACCCGACGCGCTGTCACGCATGTTCGAGGACCCCAAGGAAGAACCAACTCCCGATACCATTCTATCCTCAGGGAACTTCTTGGCCCTCCAGACAGATCTACGGTCAAAGCTGATGGACGCATCCACGGCTATGTCAACCCTTCCTGGGGTGTCCCTCCAGAACAAGGGGGGACTCCTATGGAAGGAGGGGTTGATCGTGGTGCTGGAAGAGGTCCGAACCCAGGTTTTGGGACATTGTCACGACCACCTGATGGCGGGACACTTTGGCCCAGCAAAGACCCTGGAGCTTCTTCAACGTTCTTTTTGGTGGCCAAACATGGCAAAGGACTGCGC